ATATCAGGCCCTTTGTCCAAACCCTTCTGAGAGTCGTTCGTCATCGATTTCTTCATCACCGTCCTGGAAAAGCACGACGTGACAATGGGAGTACCACATTGATCTGACCCATCTGTTGTTCCATTAATTCCGATGGCGAGAACGCATCAAGTGCGCCGCTTGGACCAATGACTACCAAAGCACTGCTTCCTGTCCAGAAGAACTGAGATCAAGAGGGTCTGCAAATCATTGCAAATCCTTTCCAAACGCCATTCTAGTGAGAAAAATGCCTACCTTGCGCTTCATGGTGGCATGCGATATGACAAGTGGTACAGTTGGATCAAACCGACATTAGAGCAGAAACCCTGGAATGTCAGCGGCCACGTCCTGTGGGCCATCGTCCGCCATGATAAAAGCTGGGGCGGTTCACCTCCAAAAGGACACATCACAAGCCTTGGACCTCCACGTGCTGAAAACAGGGTATCTCAGTATCTCCAGATCTTTGGAACCTCTGAAATCTTGGTGAAAGAGCGCAACATCGATTCATTTCAGATCGTGTCTCTCGCTTTGACTGGTTTCTCCAAACTCTGGATCTGGCGTGTCCGTGTCAATTCATCCACCTTTCGGCGGTGTTGTGAGAGGTGCCTGGGCAAAAAAGGCACCTCAAATCTCCGTCTGCCGAGGTCCCCGGCAGTGCTTTCCGGGCACTCCTGGGCACTCCCTTTGAGAGGCATCTATTGTTCCCTTCCGTCTGCGGGTCCCGGCGGCGAGAAGAAGAATGGACAAAAAGAAGACAGAACCTCCAGAACCTCCAGGACTATGATTGCATGATCACATCGCCAGTGATTGACGCCATCTGTGGACACAGGTCCCCCGAACAGTCTGTTGACCACAGGTCCCAGAAATCCCTCTGCCCCTCTCTGATCAGCGAGAAATTCCTGAACCCTGAGGCTGTTCATTTTCCTGCGGGCAGTGCAGATTCGCATATGTAACAAAGGTTGCTGCATGCAGAAACAAATTCAAGCCTGGCTTCATGCTGTGAGCAACTTGTCCAACGAAAAAAGCTATCCAAGTCTTTGCAACAAAAGGCTTGGAAGGAGCCTGACTACCACAATGTTCAAATGATACATACAGAATCTCATGCCTACTCCGAGAGTAGGGCGAACTTCAAGTCAACAGCAGTTCTCCTAAACCTTCATACTAAAGCGCTTGGCGAGTCGATGACTACCAAGGTCTTACAAAAGAAATATGACTAAAACCTCTTACAAGCACTTTTAAGCAATCATCTGTGCAGGAAGCCAGATGGATGATTGGAAGGTGGAAATCAGGCTGTGAAAGCAAATGGTGCCTTGAGGGTGCGAGGGTAGAAACCTTGGCTTAGCATGTCAGTGCCACACATGTGCTTCCTTCACCTGATTCCACTCTCTCGTTCATTTTCGACCATGCATACAATGGTGAAAGAGGCGGAACGTAAGAAGGATCCGCGAAAGAAAAAGAGGCGAAACTGTGAGAGGAAATGATGTCAAATTCATCGTTGTGGACAGGGCCACTGATGTGAAAGGATCTGATTGTTCATCTGCTGTTGAGGAGTTGATTTTGGGCGATCTGAGCTTAGCTTTTCGGCGATCCCTGGCTCTCTCGTTCGATCCACTCAGTAGGAGGGGTTCTGAGGAGATGAGCACCAAGGGCACTCCTGGCGAACCCGAAAACCGCGACCAAAATGATTCCAATGACCCAAATGTTTCTCTTGGAGTCTTTTGGAGTCGTAGTTCTTTTTCCAATGTCGAAACGATCTGATGTTGGGATAGTCTCTCACGTTGTTCTCAGAGGCAGGGTATTTAATGTATTTACAGAGGTGCCACTAGCCTGCAAGAATACTATATGACGATGGACAGTATCGGGACCGTACTCACATGTATCTAGCCCTCTTCATACACCCTACTGCAACTTATGCTGCAGGGAAAGTGGCCTGCCTGTGTGATCCAACGACAAGCATGGGGAAAGCATGGGGAATTCCCGCCAATTCTGTCTCCATCTGAGAACAACCGCCTTGACATCACTGAGGGCAAAACACATTCAGATCATGAACTGTTTAACGTTTAACTTGGAGCTTCCACCGCATCCATCACCTGCTCTTGGCCCATCCTTGAATTGCTGCACATAGATATTCCAGTCGTCCCGATTCGCCGCAACGTGGCACACCTCGATCCAAGGTCACAAAGCGATCGCAGAAGTTCTAAGTTCTCCAGCACAAATCTAGTCGCTAGTCACGCATCCAAGGTTGTTCAGCAAGTGTCAGTTGAATGCCCATTGTCCAAGGCAACAACATCAAGAGTCTATACAATACACGAGACCCCGGATGTTTATCCACATGAAATGTTCGACAAAGGTCAAGACTTTGGAGGAGAGTCACTGCAACCAAAGAGCTGTACACTCCACGCGGCTCTTCTTTAAGACGGGGAAGCCAGTCACTGCCTCAGGTGAGTCGTCTTCGTCTTTGATTCGGAAAAATGAGCTTCCCCTGAGCGCCAAGTGGGTAAGGGATCAAAACAAAAATAAAAGGGAATCAACAAAATATTCAACGGGGATCAAAAAAACATAAAAAGGGAATCAAAATATATAATATTCTAGCGCACTGAGGATGGTTGGGGTTGAGCATCGGCTCAACAAGCCGTTACATTCCATCACTACGTGAAAAGCTGCGGGGCTATTACACTTGAATGTTCACGCATGGTCCGGCCAAAGAAGGAGGACAGTCTGCAAATGCGATCGGCGACCCTTTACATAGTTTGTTTTCGTGGCAGGCGCAGTGCAAGAGTGCAAATTTCGTGGTGCTGGAGGGGGGTTGGGGAGGGCGCTGCGCCTCCCCAAAGCGAACCAAACGTTAAAACACAGCACCACAAAAGAAATCAGTAGAAACTATGTACCCTATCGCCCTTTCAGTGAAGGCATCTGAAAGTGCACAAAAAGGACCTAAGGCAACCGAAACCAAAAGCATTGTACTTTTGCAGGAAAACTGCGGCCAATAAGCTACAAGAGAAAGGACCAAAGGCATCAAAAAGCATCAGTGAAAGAACAAGGAGAAAACCATAGGAAACCCGCAGACCAGAGGACCAGGAGGGCAAAGGACCAGGAGACCACGGGACCAGACCAGGACCAAAGGACCAGGGGGTGAAAGAGCCTGTGGACCAGAGGACCAAGGGACCAAGGGACCAGGGAACCAAAGGACCAGTGGACCAGCGGACTAAAGGGCCAGGAGCAGAAGAGGCCTATAAGGAATAGTTTGTTTGATCCGTTTTTATCATATGTTTCTTTTTGTTTATGATCTTCTTATTTTTTTGTGGAAGCTCAATTTATAGTTTGTTGATCTAGATGCCCCAAGTCACCCCAAAATAAAAGAAAAGAAACAAATGACTATACATAAATGACAATCACAATACTCAAAAGCACAGAATTTCTGAGCTCGTCTAAGTTCACTACACATGGATCGTTTTGTGTCCCACATCTCCTGCAAGGCGCGCTCAGCTCAAAGTGTGCAGCACCCACAGAACACAAGGGTCACAGCAAAACACCGCCAAACACACACACAGAAACACGATCCACAATGATCACGAGTCAGCTGTCGGCACTAGCGGCCCAAGGGGGCTCTCTCGGGCCCCTGGCGTACAAATGAGGCTGCCCCCGTAAATGTGGTGGCCACACCTGCCAGATGTGAAGAGCAGCCTGTTTTGAAAAGGTGTTTATGTTGCAAAAAACAGTTGGAATGGAATGGAATTGGAATAAAATGTTGGATGTCGGACCGAATGAAAAAATTGCAATCACCACATGGACTGGAAGGCGGCCAGTTTTCCGTCTATGCATGGAGAACAAATCAAACGCACCATCTTGAGTGCATTTACCTCTAATGCAGTGTGTGGCTTACTGTCCGACCCCTTCGTTTTCCAATTTGCAGATCACTTCGTGTCGTAGAGAGAGAGAGAGAGAGAGATCGGCTCTGGGTATCGGGTATCCACTATGGTGCGAGAAGTCAAGTCGACTTGGACAAGTGAGCTTGACTTTTCTTGCGCTCACTTTTCCACGCAAAAAAAATGAGCTTGACTCGCATGTTTCTCCCATTCATATGCAGTCGCTGGTGTTGACACACATATGTCCTCCAAGCTGGATTACGCAATTCAATCTTCATTTTGCTGGGGTACCGCATCGTTGAAAGTGTCGCACAAGTGTCAGCTGCTGGATCTGTGAAAGTGGTCTGCAGTCCACAAGGGAATTCATCCACGGGATCGACCTCGTCACATGTGCTGGTTGTTGTCTAGCTAAAATGCCTCCCTACAGCTCTCCTGTATTTAGGAAGCATGAATTCAGAATGATACGGATCAAACAAAGAGCACGAATTCGATTCTACGAGTCTATGGGACACTTTTTTGTTGCTCCGTTTTCGTATTACCCTGCGGCGTATGTTGTTGACATTTATTGACTGCATCCCGCATCTGGAACTCAAGTCTGTTGCAAGCGGGCCGGGATTGCTTGTCACACTGTCGCAAGTCCATCCTTAGGCGCAAAAGTTGGAGATTGTACACGCAAGAATGTTGACATGGAACCTGGCAATGGACCTTTGGAAGATTAGCTTCGTTAATCTTCCCGGGTGTAAATTTGGCAGATTTGCCCAGATCTCACTGATTCCAAAGCTACTGAGCCCCGAAGACACCAGCACTTTTGTTTGCGGCCAAATCCCATTCCCAGACTTCCAGAACGAACCACTCCAATTCTGAACCGCCCGAATTCTCGGCCCCAACCACATACTGGATCACAAGGTGGACCATTCGGATCCGCCCCACGGTTTTGGGGTCTCCAAATACTTCACAAGCTACCTAGTAGCTTCTAGCTAGTAGCTTCTTGTAATGGCCTCCACCCTAGTAGCGATGGCACCTAGTAGCGATGCCAGGAGCCCCCAGTAGCTTCTTGCTCCTAGTAGAAAGGCCAGGAGCCCCTAGTAGCGTCCTTGTTCCTTGTAGCGATGGCACCTAGTAGCGCCCCATTGGTCCAAGCGTCTTTTGCTGTACAGATTGATCCATAGACCATCCCAAGACCCAGTCGCGGATTTCCTCCACCTGGACACACACGAGGCAAGGGAGACGCAACTTCTTCCGGCAAGTCCTATTCCTATGGTGGACGATTTCAAGCGCATCTTGAAAGTGAAAAGAAAACTATGTTTCGTGCCAAAAATGACAGCTCAGATTGTTTTGTAAAAAAAATGTTTGAGACAAATGTTCTCGATACACTACACTGGCAGAATGGTATTTGCTGTCAAGAAACCTACAGAACGACTCAACTGCCTGGCCAAAGCGTTTTGCTCTATCGTCTCGCTGTAGCAAGTTCCAGGCACCTTCTCACTCGAGACATGGTTTTGATCTGGAAGATCCAAGTCCTTGGAAGCTCTGGTGTGAAAGCTGCAAGCATTCCTTTACTCCTGAGGCACCGGCATATGGCGATGGGATGTCAGTGTCCATAAAATCTGTGTTATCGATGGCTGCGTTCCTTACAAAAACCGTCGGCTCGAATCAACTGACCGAACGTGTCGATGAGATCAGGAACCAACGATCGTCTGCCAAAAAGAGCCTTGCATGTATGAGTCTGCCCCCCAAAAGACTGTTTTCGCTCGAGAGTCTCAGGGTCATCGATGGCATCTGCAATGTCTAGGAAGCGATTCAAGAAGAAGAAGGACATGTTGATCATGCCTGGAGAAGGAGGTCGCCCAGGGTTCGAAGGTCTTCCGGCAGCATTGAAAGTCAAGGGCATAAAAAAGAACAATGGAAAAAGAGCAGATCACTTACGATCGAACATAAAAGATCAAATTATAATGTATGTTGGCCGTGACAAATAGATTTGATATAATTGTGTACTGTGTGTTAAGCCCAAAAGCTCCGATCTTCTTGCCCAAAAGGATCTAGAGATCTTCAACCCATTATGTTCACATGTCGATTTCTCATTAGGGTATATTAGGGTTATGATTTATATAACCAGTCTTTGCCATGTTGTCATGCTTGGTCTCTTGTTGTCACTTCTGGTGCTCTTGAACATGGTCATACATGATCCAAAGTTCGCATGGCTTGCGAGCATCTGTGGGCATGGCTTACTCAGTACCTGTCACATGTCCGAGTTTGGTCCATCTTCTGTGGCGCCTGCTTCCTTGCAGTCCAAACCAGCACTATAAAAGGCGAGATCCATCGGGAACTCGGAACAGTAGCCTCAGGTCGCAGGATCCGTCGGACCCGGGGCCGAGAGCCGGTCGCGGAGCCCCAGATGAGCCTCCGGGCGACACAGGGACAAACTGATTTTGGCCACCAGCTCCGGGGCCATGTGACGTTCACGTAGCCTGAGGTCGGTCCATGATCTGATCATTCACCGTGTTTGGGACCACATGTTTCTAGTTACACGCATCAACAGCACCTAAATCTCATTGCAATTGCGGAACGCCAACACCTCTACTGAAAGAGCAGCTTCCAAAAAAGACTTCACCGTTCATTGCCCTGTTCCCCATCTCCCAGCGTGGCCTTTCCCTGATTGTCATCAAATGCGACGCCATCAATGCCTGCCCGGTGAGATCGCTGGCCCTTCGAACTCAGCGTCCAAAGCCGCCCATCGGACGTTCGTTCACCGTCCCAGTGATCTGAGAGGAATAGTAGCTTCTTGTTACTTCTTGTTACTAGTAGCGATGCACTTGTTTCTAGTAGCTTATTGTTTCTAATAGCTTCTTGTTACGACTAGTAAGGCACCTGTTACTACTAGCGTGGCACTTGTTACTACTAGTAGCTACTAGTAGCTTCTTGTTACTAGTAGCGATGGTCTCCAACCTAATAGCGATGGCCTCCACCTAGTAGCTTCTTGTATGAAAAAGGACTTGTGGACTGAAATCAGCGGACACAGAGAGGAACGCACCCTTTCTGGACGATGGGATGATGAGACCGGTGATGATCGCTCTGGGAGAGTACCAGCTCGACGATCGAATCGAGTGCAATGGTCCAACTTCTGCCACAAGCAGTTGAGACTGTTGTCGTCACCATGCTTGTAACGATCCCAGAGTCATCAGGTTCTCATAAACAACTATATAAAAAAATGTATGAGCGCTCTAAAACTAGAAAGCTCAAAATATGCACGTGCCACATACCATCACAGCGCCAGTTAGTAGTGGCAAACACGTTCCCCGCGTTGGCCCATCGCCCGTTTCGAGCTGCGCCTTGAGGAACTCCGCCTGCGGCCGTCGGTCCTCTGCCAGGATGCTCGGTGTGGGCGGTGCTGGCGCGGTGCTGCGTCGGTGGTTGAGGCACTGACGTCTGAAGCGTTTGGACGTCTGTGTCACAAAAAAAAAGCATCCCAATTCAGGACTTGCATGGTACTTGTGAGACGAAATGAGCCGAATACCCAGGTGTTGTCTCACGAAGCCGAGAAGCGCGTAAGTTTTACGCACTACATTCTGGGATTTGGATCGTCCACCGTTTCGGCCTTTCGTGGGCCGTTTTGGCCAGTTCCACCGTTCCTGCTGTTTCAGCCGTTTCAGCCTTGCCCGTACCACTAAAAAACGGCCGTAGTAGCGTCCTTGCTCCTAGTAGCGATGCCAGGAGCCCCTAGTAGC